AAAATGTGATATTCCTAACCCTGTGATATGGAGGGGGGTGAGGCATACATACTGCTGTGTTTATAAACAAAATACACCTAGCTGGAATAAATATTCTTGTAAGTCCTACCTTAACAGAATTGTTGCCTGGATAGTGGTTAGACTGAACGCTGTTATCCGCATGATGTAAGTCGTTAAGACTATGTTAGAGGTGCAACAGCAGTAAGGTGTTTACCTAGAACAGTCAGTAGACTAGCTGTCTGCTACCAGAAAAGATCAGTAACAGGGTGGGATTTTCGGTAATGAACGAACCAACCCAGCAGGAACGAATTGTGCAACAAATATGCAGGAAGAAATGGAGGTGGATTGGCTGGCCATACTCTGAGAAAACAAACCATCAAGTGAGTGACATCACACCCCAGGCCATCGCTCGAGTGGAATCTGATTGGGAAGCGGCAAGTTGTTCGCCAGTGTTAGGGTGACGTGGAGGAGGTTATGTGAAGAGGAGATGAAAGCATGAGGGCAGATGAGAAGCCAGAGGATGAAAACGTTGGCAGAGAACCAAACGCAATGGAGACGTGCGGCTGAAGTCATATGTTCCACTAGGAACTAAAAGAAACAATAATTGTAATGCTGCCTTTTCACCTCGACTTATCTTGAGGTAGTAAGGTTCGTGTATGAACACGTTGTATGTGAGTACGCGACAGCCCTCAAGCAGTTATCGCCTCTGGTCTGAGGTCATACCACACTAATAATTTTTCAAGAAGAAATCAATTTTGATAGTGTGGGCAGCTGGGAAGTTGTAGCCACACGAATACACACACACACACAATACACACTTCCATAAGCATACAAAGCTTGAATGACTCATTGATTGATTGATTGCGTTATCAAGGTACAACTGACTCTTTATTCAATCGAAAAGCTAAAACTGTTTTATAAGATGAACTGAGCTATCAACCATACTAGTTGATAGTATGACCAGGTGATCACTACTCACAAATTAAACTCTATAATTCATTCAGATAACCTTAAAATGAACTGATATCAAAATACGGAGCAGCCATTCGTCAATACGTATGTATATATTATGAAAAAACCTTATATTGTCAGTTGATATTGAACTAGAATAATTAAAACAGATAAAAAATCGATTAAACAGATGCCTCTTTTAGAATTTCCTAACGTTGAGGTTATTGAACAAAAAGACTATTCTTTACGATACCTTCTTCAAGTATTGGTTTGTAGGGATTTGAATGTTTGGTTTCAGGATTTCATCGTGAGCTGACATCAGTTAGAGAACCGTTGGAAAACCTGGTAGCACTATGTCGTGAATTGCCTGAAGTTGGAATCCATGCATCGACGATTGGATAGGGTGCCAGTGACTAACTGGTCGACGAGCTAGCTCGCACCGTGGCGGTGGGTGCGCAATAGTGAAGGGTCCCAAACTGCGACAAAACAGCTTTCCAATACTCCCAGGTTTTCTAATGGTTCTCTAACTGATATCAGCTCATAACTTAATCCTGTAACCGATAAATTCTTCATTAAATTGTCGGATATCAGCCAGTGGTCTAGGCTTAATGATTTTACCCTAAATCCCCCTCTAAATGTCAGACAATTAACTTCGCCTTCAAGCATAAATGAGATCTGCCAGAACTGGTTCGTTCACATGATGCTTGTAACATAGCATTCAGGGCACTGAAGTAGAAACCATGCCAAGCATTAAATACCTTAGAATAGTTCTCTCCCATGTAGCCTTCTTTGGTCCCCCCCCCCACATATCTTGTCTATTTCCGAGAAAATGTTACGTCTAACTTACTACATTAGGAAGTTAAGACAATCAGGTAGGTGTATCTCTCAACCTGTGCTTTTATATAGTTTTTCAACTGTTTTATCTTACCTATTGTACTTTACTATGGTGTATTTCATAGAGTATTAAAGCTGGTCAATTGGGAAAATGGTATAGTGCTACTTAGTCAGCTCGTTACTGCTGTAATCGATAGACACCTGAACTCATGTGAGAAATGGTCTAAATGCCTATTGTCTGACTATCAATACCTTCCCTGTATTTTCAAATCCCCCTACTCTTGCATCTCATCAGGTAGGAGGATTAGAAGTCATTATAAAGACTATATGCTCGTACAACCAAGGTCAGAAACTCTACAATATCATTGATATAAGAATAAAACTTGTCCACTGTGGCAGAGTAGAGTATAATTCCATTGTGGGTAAAATTTATTTTGATAAATGCTCACAGTGTTATACAGTAGTAATATTTACTTATGACTACGTTTTGAGCACATCTCATTGCTCATAGTCATATCAAGACCCTACTCACAACTTTCCAACTTCGTTTATATAATTCCATTATTTTTCATCACTTGATTTTATTGATAGTAGTAATTTCCATATTTCCGGTATGAGTGATGCGTCACTTATTATTGCACGTGTTGGGTGTAGACTCAATGAACCAGGCAGGATTCAGTAGTCAACCTGTACCTATGTTGCTTTTTAGAATTTTAACCCTCTCCCACCCTTTTGGATGGTTGTGTCTTAATGCAAGCAACGCGACTTCTGAGTTTTTTTTCTAAATTACTTTTCTTTTCGGGGTCCGTCATTCTAACCTTGGCAAATTTTTATGTTCTGACAGGCGATCTGAGTACTCCTTATCTACTAGTTTGAACAGTGTGATTGACCTAACTCACAGTCATTGCAAGCTATTTTGTAAATTATATTATTTTCAAGTATTAGTTTTGTAGGGATTTTGTTTGATTGCATGGAGGATTTCATCATGAGCTGACATTAGTTAGAGAACCACTGGAAAACCTGGGAGTACTGGACAGCTATTTCGTCCTAGTTTGGGACTCTTCAGCAGTACGCACCCACCGGGATTCGAATCCAGGACCTTCCGGTTACAAGGCTAGCGAGTTCGTATACCATTAAGCCACTGGGACCCGATCCAATGGTCCTTGAATTCTAACTTCTGCCAATTCACGACATAGCGCGACCACTTCGCAATGTCTTCGATGAGTTACTGCCTCATCTTCAACCTGCTTTACCCGACTGGTCACGGCTTCCCACTAGAACTCCAGGTTAACTACCTGAATAGGCCAGTCACTAGTGAGCATGAGATTATATTATTTTGTCTAATTGGGTCAACCAACAGGGTCCTTTAACCTACAGAGCTTGTCCAAACTTAGTGAGTTTGTACGTTTAAATGCCACTCTAATTCCTGCTTTATTAAGAACCCTAAATAGAGTCCCAGATGTCTCCTCTTCACACGGTAAAACTACTGAAGATGACTTATATTCTTTCTTATTTAGGTTATCATTATTAGATCAAATAAAGTATAATTATATTTCAATAGTTTACACACAATGATAAGTTTTGTGATTAGTAATATTTCGAGCAAAATTACTGCCCGTGTTCACACCACTGTTGGAATTATTTTATTCCATAAAACAATTCCAACAGTGGTGTGAACACAGACGGGCATGTTTGACTTTATTGTCGCTTGAAAAAGAGAATACGTTCAGCGAAGAGACTCTTTTCGGCGAATTCATTCACATAGCTGTACAATCGCATGCATATATAATTCTTTGTGTGTGTGTGTACATGAGGTTTGTGGAACTCTAGGGTACCCTTATACACTAAACGAAACCTGATCCGTTCACTCAGCTACAGAGTTCGCAGAATTTGCACCCCGACGCCATAGAAGATGAAGTGGATAATCTCAAGAGAATCCTCGCCGAGAATTGTTATCTAGAAAGATTTATTGCACAAAAGCTGCCTGTGTTTAGCGTCCCGAAAAACCTACTCTACATGAACCTTCAATTCAATGGAGATATATCTGCGGAAACACTAAGAAATCGTCTGTCGCGCTCAATTAAGAAGACCTTCTTCGCAGCTGAACTACGACTAACCTTCTCCACAAAACCTATGATTCATGTGAACGTGAAAGATAAGCTACCACTGCTGGTCTCATCAGTGTGTATTTATCAATTCACCTGCTCGTGTGGAGCCAGGTATGTCGGCCGTACCCAGCGTTCGCTTTCCAAACGTATCACCGAACACCTACCAACATGGTTTTACAAAGGAGAAAATCGATGCCCCCGCACCTCCATCTTAGAACATCTGATAGAATCCGGACACCAAGCTACACCGCAAACAAACTTCAAAGCCGCCAAAAGAGTAAGAAGTAGTCTTCCTAAAAGTGTACGAATCAGGCTTCTTCAAACTGCAGAAGCAATGGCGATTCACTTGCTAAGTCCTCAACTCAGCATACAGAATAAGTTCGTTCAATCACTACACTTGCGATGGACGTAATCTATCTTATTACCTGACAAGTAAATTCTACCTAATCTTTTTTCTATTCTGTCTCTTCATTAGTATTATTTTGTCTTCTCAACTGTAATATTTTGCATTTTCAACTTTCCTGTTCTCTACCGTCACCTGATTCAAATTCTAAACCTAATTATCACAGTTACTGACCTGACCAACGCTCGATTTCTAGTCATTTATGCTACGTCATCCAACTTATTTGCTCGATTTCAGTTCTAATTTAAGTGGCATTATTATCTACCCCACTTCTACTTAGTCTCTACCTGTAATTACCTCTGTTGCTACCCTGACCTAAGTTGAAACATTTTAGTCAATTATATTACGTCATCTAACTTGCTAACTCAATCTTAGTTGCTTTAGTTGCTGTCTAATTAACCTTGTTTCTATTGTGGTGAGAGCAGGCTGCTAGCCGATTGGTTGGCACTAATCTACGTTAAGGTCTAGGTCACTAATATGGGCCGTGAAGAAGCCTGAGTCAACAACCAATCACAGCAAAGTTAACGTGGCAAAATATGATTCGCAGAGAGAACTCTATTTGTCAAGGAATCCCGAAACAACCAATCAGAAGCCGGCGTTTGTCTACCTAAACAACCAATCAGATGACTGCGCTTGTCTATAATAATGTAGTTGGAATATGTATAAATACGTGTTGATTTTCATAATAAAACGATCTGTTGCCTGGCCCTTGTCTTCTGTTGTTACATTTGGTGTCGCTGCCTACCGACAAATGAAAAGCCTATACCCTGCAGTTTTTGATGGAGACATATGGATCTTCGGGCAGGACTTCAAGGCTTCTGCGCAGTTGAGTGGCGTTCAAGATCTGTCAGCGATGGAGCTGCTACTTGAGACGCTGCTGGGAGGTCGGGCGAAAGCAGCATATGAAGGTGTGGGCCGAAGTATGGACGAATGTTCGACAGGGTCAGGCAAACAGTTTCCAAAGTGGGAAGGACCATATATGGTCACTTCGAGATGGGGTTACGCAGACACAGTCGCAATGGCGAACAATGAGAGGCGCGTGAACGTCAGCGAGCTCCAGAAATGGATACAGCGAGACAAGCCAACGATGACGCCTGCACCAAGTAGATCAAGCCGACTTCAGTCGCACGTATTTGACGGGGGGACGAGTGTGGTGAGAGCAGGCTGCTAGCCGATTGGTTGGCACTAATCTACGTTAAGGTCTAGGTCACTAATATGGGCCGTGAACAAGCCTGAGTCAACAACCAATCACAGCAAAGTTAACGTGGCAAAATATGATTCGCAGAGAGAACTCTATTTGTCAAGGAATCCCGAAACAACCAATCAGAAGCCGGCGTTTGTCTACCTAAACAACCAATCAGATGACTGCGCTTGTCTATAATAATGTAGTTGAAAGATGTATAAATACGTGTTGATTTTCATAATAAAACGATCTGTTGCCTGGCCCTTGTCTTCTGTTGTTACACTATATTAGATCATTCTTTTATTACCTGATCAATTATCTAAACTTGACAAACCTCCTGTACACACACAAATAATTACATATAAATGCGATTGTATAGCTACGTGAATGAATGTGCCGTCGAAAAATGTCTCTTCGCTGAACGTCTTCTCTTTTTCATATGACTTTATTTTCACTGCTGATACCAAGAAATCTGCTATAATTAATCTCCAAATATTTATTTTGGTGTTTTCCAGTAAATTAGATGCGATATTGTACCAAATGCTGATAGTTCCACACTGTATCATAAGTACTGTTTTGGAATAAAGCAAATTATTATTAGTTTTTTATGGCATTATTGAAATCAGCCTTATGACCCATCTCTATAATGTGCTTCTCTATAGATGATGTTGAACATTTCTTTCTAGGATCAGTTGTATACGGCGATTTTATTTGTTATTGCAGCCACTTTAGGATATGTTCTTTAGCCCTAACCTGCAAAGATCGATGGGTCCTCCCTATGTACGTATGTATACACATACGTGTAAATTGATAAACACAATGGGATGTGACACTATCGTTTGGATGCTGTGAGGGGAGAGGGTTTACAAGACAGCAAAGATCTCGTTTTCTCTATGAACAAGTCTAACTGCATCATAAGTTTTATTAATTACAGCCTTGAGTCTTTGTTCAGTGACCAGAATTTGTTGATCACCTCTGAACTCCAAAGGTATATAAATATCCTTTTGGGGAGTTGGTTGCATCGGTAGAGCTATCTCGATGACACTTCCGTAAAACTTAATGAATCTCAGCGGGTAACTGTTATCTAGCAATATTTCAGTGTCAGTCTGGTGAAATCCATGTCGCCTTGTGTATATCCTTGTGTTTGAACACACTCCCACCAATCAACAAATCATTGAAGGCGAAGAAGTCTGAGAAGAGTTCACCATTGTCATTCATTTTACCGAGACCCATGCTGAGTTCTTTTCCTGTATTTTCTCCTCCCAGTTTCGCATTCATATCACCCATCAGGATTTTGATATCGTCATTTGGGACATGGTCCATTACTCTTTGTGGTTGTCTGTAGAAATCCTCCTTTTTCTCTTGTTCTGAAACGTTTCTAGGTGCATAGCATTGAATGATTGTAGACTTCCTTCCTCTTAAGTTGGACCTGGTTATCATTATCCTGGAGGAGATTGGTTCCCACTGCATGAGAGCTTTGGCTACTGTTGGTGACATCATGATGGCCACTTCTTCGATGTGCTAATGATTTTCCCCTGGGTGATATGAGTAGATTATTGTCTCTCCAGTTGGTAGTTGGCACCTTCCACATCCATTCCATCTGCTCTCGCAGATTCCCAACACTTCTATTCTATATCTTCTCAATTCTGCGGCTACCTGCGCAGCCTTTCCCGATCGAGAATCGGGAAGGCGAGAAACACACACATTCATCAACCAACTGAAACCAATCTCGAAATCTTCGTCACTCAACCAGCATCAACAACAAAATTCAGCCGAATTTTCAATACAAACGTCAAGTCAGTCAGTTCTTCTATACATATCAGAAACTTGGCGAGCGGGTCACAAAGAATATTTCCACCAACAGGCTGTTGCAGACGTTACCTTTATCAACCAACAACTGTCTTCGCTGGATCTATATTGAAGATTAGATGGCCGGGCCGAAAAGAATTACCAACAAGAAACTATGGGAACGAACCAACATGCAAGAAACAATCGCCAACCAACAAATATGCAGGAGAAAGTGGATTGAGATGGATTGAATACTCGCTCGCTGAGGAGGCCACTGGGTGACATCGCGCGCGCGTCAGGCCATTGCTCGAGTGGAACCAGGCCATAAGGGAAGTGGCGAGTGGGACGTCAGTGCAAGGGTGACATGGAGGAGAGATCGTGTGAAGAGGAGTTGAAAGAGTATGAACTAACATGGATGCAGCTGAAAAGTACAGCAGAAGATAGAAGCAAGTGGAGACGTGCAGTTGAAGCCCTATGTTCCACTAGGAACCCAAGTGAGGTGTTGTGTTTCTTCTTCAACTGCGTCGGCTGTGCATATACGGTGGATGGATTTGAACAAGCATTTAACCAATGCCTTTTTATACTGTATTGGACGCACTAATATTCCCCTATCCTTGTAACCATCTTTTTTTATTATGAATAAAATTCTAGCTAATTCAATTACTTAATATATTTGCATATTGATATTCTTACATAACTGACTTACATATTCCTCTTAGTCATAATTGTTTTACAAACTATCGGTTGTGTAATTACTTAACACATATCTGTCTGTCTGTTTTCGACATAGAACTTTGCACAAATGTGCGGAAGTTCAAGTCGCCACACTCCGTGTAGCACGCGAAGCAAGAGAAGAAAGTACAAGAAAAGCATAATAGAAACTGTGAGCAGAGGTGTGAGACAAAGGAGTAATAAAGAAATACAAAACAGTTTCATTGAAGATCATAAGTCACAGGGAGTGGATGCATCTGCGCCACTGAGAACGATTATGAGCCATGTCACCAATTGTTTCCAACCATAGATTAACACATATACTACTGATTGACTTATATGGGTAGTTGTGTACCAGCCATAGCAACCAGTAGTGCTTGCTAGCCAACCAGATCATCGAAGTAATCTAACCACCAGACGGCTGTTTCATTCATTTGGAAACAGAATGGCTAATTAGCGGTGGACTCGATGTGATTCAGCTGAAAGAGACGAATCAGTTCATACTGTGGTGAGAGTTGTCTCTGCTAGCCAAAATTGTAGATAACAATTTATGTCAGTGTTTACGTCCCGAATCGGGTTAATGTGATAAAACAATAACAACGCTTAACTTTTGAGGAACTCAACAACCAATCATGGCAGACTTAATATATGAGAATACAATTAGCAGATATATGGCTTAACTTTCTAAGAAGTGGTCACAAGCAGTACAGGATAACCTTCAGCAAGAAAATAACCATTCAGAAGACGTTGTTTGAGATGAGTGGTTTTATACCTATCACATCAACATTTGTGTAATTACTTGTTGCTGACATCTATAAATCAACTGATCTTGAATTCCGTAATTGTATTAACACCTCCTATACCTTAAAACTGATAATTCTTATTGATAAATAGATCACCGTATTTTTTCTGGTATAATTTTTGATGTAAAACTATGTTGATAAGGAAATAAATTGAGAAGAAACTTCAATAGTTAATTTGTAGAAGTTTGATCAGGGATTTTTGTCAGCTAGAGGACTATTGAAAACCGAAGTGTACTGGACGGTTGTCTCCCTCTAGTTTAGGACTCTTCATCAGTACGCACCCACCACCAAATCACCTGCTAACTGCATCCGACGCATCTGTAGTCCCGACGTTCTGAAAACAGAATTACATGCTTTGAGAGAAATCTTCATCCAAAATGGATACCCAATAAGATTCATCGACAAAAATATCAAACCAATAATTCGGAGATACGAAACTTTAATTGTGCCGAAAAAGAAACTCTACATGAACTTGGATTTCAAGGGAGATTTAGCAAGCGATATTCTCAAGAGAAGGATCACAACATCTCTGAGAACATTCTTTGCAGCAACGCTAAGTATAATGTTCTCCAGTCGCCCACTGATATGCAGAAGCCTCAAGGACAAGATCCCGCATCCGACTACTTGTATGTGCATATATCAGTTCACCTGCTGCTGTGGAGCCAGGTACATCGGTCGTTCGACGCCCACCTTGTCCAAGAAGATTCAAGAACACTATCCATCATGGTTGAGAAAAGGTAATAGTGGTGCAATAAGGAGCAGGAAAATTGAACACCTGGTTAACACTGACCATTCCATCCCAACAAACATCTCCTACTTCAAAGTAATCTACGGAGTCAAGAATAACCTATCAAAGGCAATACGGTTTCGTCTTCGTTGTACCGCTGAAGCTCTGGCCATTCACATACAAAAACCGGAGCTGTGCATACAAAAGAGGATTACTCAACCACTTCTGCTGCCATGGTAACAACTTTTCTAAAATTTTTTATTTTATTTTTTGGATTTTGAATACTTAATTTTGTTTCTTTGCTTGTTCTTTAATTGCTTATAATTCTTGTATTCATTTAGAACTCTTACGTGATTTCGTATTCTCTTCTTTGTTCCTATGTGTATCCTGAGTAAAACACACTCATCAAACTATTCATATTATAAACTTAGGCCAAGGAGGGTTTCTTGTGGCCGATTGCCTCCAACCATCTAATATCAACAACTCACAGTGCACCGTGATGGTGAGCCACCTAATGGTATGGTGGCCACATTGCAAGCTTGACTGATAGAATTCAGTCTGCAGACAACATAGGATTAGACACCTTACAACACTAATTACTGACTAGTGTGCAATCAAAAAAAAATATCCAATATTTATTTTTTGATTTACAGCTTGATTCCACACTGTATTGTCGGTACAAGTATGGAATTTTGAGCATGGATATCGGTAGCCCAAATTTTGCAGGTCGACCATAGATATCAGATGTGCGACGGTGCGGGCTCGAACCCCGGACCATGTGCATGATCGGCGAGAGTCCTAACCACTGTGCCACCTACGCACAGTCCTACAGGAGGTCAATCACAGTGGTAATGTCTCTGACTGCAGTCTCTGTCTGTCTGTTTTCGACATAGAACTTTGCACCGATGTGCACCAGTTCAAGTCGCCACACTCCCTCCATGTAGCACACAAAGTAAGGGAAAAAAGTAGCAGAAATGCATAATAGAGACAGTAAACAGAGGTGTGAGACAAAGCAATAGTAATATCGAAGAACAATATAGTTTCATTGGAAATTATAAGTCACAAGG